TGAAGAACGACGAGCGTAATTAAACAGACGTTCATGAGGAGTAGCATTAGTAGCAGTGCATAGTAATGAACGAATTGAATGGAGGGCGTCAGGAAGGACAGTTTGCCAGTACTGGGTTGGCAGGCCACGAGACTTCAAAGCAGCCGTAATGGTTCTCCATATACTCCCATTGAACCGTTCAACCTGACCATTACCCTGAGGGTTATACGCAGTGGTCCGACTACAGCCAATACCTTTGCTGACCAGGAAGTCTTGTACTTCTTTACCCATGAATGATGATCCTCTATCCGAGTGCACGTATGCTGGCATACCAAAAATAGAAAAGAGTTGAGAGAGGCAATTAATAACTGTTGCGGCAGTCATATTGGGACATGGAAATACAAATGGAAATCTTGAATATTCGTCAACGATATTGAGGAAATACTTCTTATTATCTGTGCTAGGAAAGGGTCCTTTAAAGTCTACGTTGAGGCGTTCAAATGGCTGTGTAGCTTTTATGAGATGGTCCCTTTCGGGCTGGGGAAAGTTTGGTCTGCATTCAGCACATACTTTACATGAACAGTTCGTCGGACGTCTTCCACAGAGTAAGGCAGATTCCTAGATTTGATGAAATGAAGCAACCGTGTGACGCCGGGATGACACAAGGCATCATGAATGGCTGACAGGGACCGCTGGTCGTGGCACATCATGCCGCAGTAAGATCTGGAGAACATGTCAGGAGTAATATTTTCTCTGCCTGGTCTGTAAATTATGTCAAAGTCATAACAAGATAACTCCATTCTCCACCTTAGGATCTTATCGTTCTTTACTTTTATCTTATGTTGTTTGTCAAACATGAATCTTACAGAACGTTGGTCAGTTTTGATTGTGAAATATCTTCTAGTCAAGTAGTGTCTCCAATGGCGGACACTTTCAATAATAGCTTGAGCCTCTTTTTCAACAGCAGCATGACGTCTCTCGGGTCCCTGAAGAGTTCGCGAGAAAAAGGCAACCGGACGTCCAGCCTGAGTAAGGACGGCGGCAATAGCAGTATCCGAGGCGTCAGTTTCCACTACAAAAGGCAGTGACTCATCGATTGCCTTAACCACAGATGACTCTATGTCCTTCTTGAGTTGTTGGAATGCCTTTTCTGCCTCTTCAGTCACTGGGAAGCTAGTGGTGTTACTCAGGGGACGAATTTTGTCCGAGAAATCATATATCCAATGCGAATAGTAAGCAAAAAGCCCAAGAGTACGACGGAGTGATTTCATATCCATCGGCAAAGGTAGGTCACGAAGAGGTCGTAGTCGCTCAGGATCGGGACGAATTAAACCTTCTTCGACCACATAGCCTAGAATGCTGAGACTTCGGGTTGAAGTGCACTTATCTTCATTGTAGGTCATGTTTCTCCTCGCAGCAGCTTCAAGGAACTTGTTGAGATTGCCATCATGTTCTTGTTGCGTCATTCCACAGATGGTGACATTATCTAAATAGGCGTAGGTACCAACAAGTCCTTCCTCCTTGATCAGCGAATCCATAATTCTTTGGAAACAAGCAACTCCATTAGTGACACCGAATGGGATTCTTGCAAACTGGTAAAGTTTACCTCCTGCTTCAAAAGCCGTATACAACTTGTCTGTATCTTTGATGGCCACTTGATGATAAGCACTGCGCAGATCAATGGTACTAAAAACTCTATACTGTGCTATCTTATTCACTGTTTCATCAATACGAGGAAGGAGGTAACTATCAAGGAGTGTAAACTTATTGATGGTTTCAGAATAGTCTATGGCCAGCCGCATCTTGCGGGACTCGCCTTTCACGACAACCACTTGAGCACGCCACGGAGAGTTGCTTGGTTCGATGATTCCTTCCTTCAATAGCCTTTGTACTTCTTTTTCTATAAATTCGCGGTCTTCAGTGGAGTAGCGCCGGGATTTGGCTGCAACAGGATGGCAATCAGCTGTAAGATTGGCAAACAACTCTGGAGGATCAATCTTTAGCATACCGAGTCCACAAATAACGAGCGGGGGCAAATCACCACCGTAATTCAACTGAACACTTTCATGGAGTTTCTGAAAGTCTTGGCCAAGAATTACGTCAGAACATAACTTCGGGAGCACAGTGAGGCGTACACTTTCATAATCCCAGCCGTTCACTTTAATTTTAACCTTGCAAACTCCAGACGTGTGAGCAGAAAGAGAAGTGGAAGCCATGGTCACAGCACTTTTAGAGTGTTGTACATTTAATGAGTGGCGTTTAACTAGATCTGGATGAATGAAACTCTCTGAACTACCACTGTCAATGAGGCCATCAGCTTCGATTCCGTTGATCGAAACTCTCGCAACTGCCTTTGACAAGATGCTAGGAGTAGCAGCACTAGTTATGGTAGCAAGCATAGCGCTATTGTTAGGAGTCACAGAACCACTTACACTGGAGCTACGGCACACTTTCGAGAAATGACCCTTCTTCTGGCACTTATGACACACCGCATCACGAGCAGGGCACTTTGAACGTGGAT